CAGATCTGATAGATTTTGGCATCTTTCAGTACCTGGTTCCCTGACTGACATGGAACCATGCTGTACTTGGAGCAATGATCACCACGCTGACAGTGAGAGCTCTGTGGTGTTGTGGCTAACCTTCAGCATTAGCACTGAAGCCACAGAGTCTTTACATCCCTGCTTCCAAACTGCTACAGGTGTCCAACTAGGAGTACAAGTATCATAGGAAAATGGTAAGAGAGTGCTGACACTCTATGCAGATGTATATGGCTGGAAACTGATGCTGCAACAGCAGTGGTTGAGCAAAATTAAGTTTAGAAACCCCTGTTCTACACTTTGTTGTAGGTCTGAGCATTGATATTACAGGTCACCAGCTAAATCCTATGATTTAATTGGTATATGATACACAAACACATGTATCACCAAAGATGGGAATGAACAAGGCAAGTGGTTTGTTTCAGCCTATTTGGGGTAACAGGGAGCTTATCCTTAGGAAACAAATAAATACACTTTTTTTTCTTAATGGTGAGTAGTATTTATTTAAGGTACCTTTATTGAGGTATTTCTTAAGGCTTTCAAGTGTTTAAAGAGAATTATTTTACGGCTTTGGTTAACTAAGCTATACTAGTTCACAGCAAACGAGAGTCATTTTTGTGTCGAGAAGCCTTTAGACTTCCCTTGCCTGTTTGTTTTGCTACTATTTATTTATTTATTAGGCTTTGAGATAAGTATTTTATTGAGGTTTTGGTGGCAGAGGTGCTATGTGGTTTACGTTTCCTGCTGCTGTTTTCTCGTGAGAGGCTTTCTGTAATAAGCTGTACTCTCACTATATCCAAGTTTGTCCTCACTTCAGTATTAACTCATCATCTCTTCATCTGATTTCTAACTGTAAATACAAAAACCTCGTGCTCAGGTGTGTGTTAGTAATTCACACCTGAGGTAGTGGACCCATTGCATCATACTGGTTTAAGAGCTAAATCTAAGTGCTGCTTGCTCTCACTCTTGGTAACTGCAGCTGCAGGCTAAACTATCTGAAGGCTCAGTCCTGCTGCCTGCATTCTGTAGTTCGAAAGAGCAGGAAAGGGACTGGCTGCCTTGCTGAGAACCCAAGCAAGGACCTCAGAAGTCCCAGGCAAACACAGAGCACTGAACCTTGCTATGTGTATCACCAGTATGGCTTTGTAATGGGATAGTTTACTCCAAGTCAAACCAAAGCCACTGCACTCAGCTTCTCTGCAGAGAAGGTATAGCTTTTGTGGGATATATAGCCCCTCCTGCTTGTACTGGGAGAGGGTTCTGCTCAGTTTGACATAGATCTGGAGTTGAAAGTCAGTAGATACTTCACTTTTATGTTACTATAAATGAGCAGAATTTGAGCCACAGCTAAAACTGGTCTTTTGTTTAATGTCAAGCACAGAGTAAAGGAAACTATTGAAAAAATAAAACCTGCGGAGTCCATGTTGAGTTTTGATCTCCTAGAACCTAAGACTTCTTTTCCCCACCACTTTTAAGCCCTAGCTTGCATCAGTACAGATTTAAATACAGCCTGACCTTCCATCAGTTGATTTTGGAGTTCCTGCAGCTTTTGGTATGATCCTTAAAAGGAGATCCAATCTGCTGTGTGGCTGACGTAACATCTTTTGTACCGGACATGAAGGTGATGTAAAATGTTACAAAGTCAAAGAGGGAGTATTGCTGCCTGAGCCTTGGTTGGGGAACAGGGGACACTCTTCAGACTGTAATATGAGACCTTCCATGCGACTTACTGGGGCTTGTACAGGCAGAGGAGAGATGGCAGATCCCAGCGTAAGACTTCAATGACTGCAAGTTAAGCCATTAAACAACAGGGGGCAGGATTTACGACAGGAATGGATTGCAAACTATTTTTCCAAACTAGGGTGGAAAAGATTAGATAGACACCAAAGTGTCAGAGACCTTTTTCAGTGGGCTAAGGTGGAGGGGGTCTTCTGTTTTCATTTCCCTAGGAGAATGCAGAGATAGGAAATCTGAAATGCATTCCCCCTAGGCCACAGGATAGAGATAGGAATACTTTCCCCCCAGCCACCCAAACCCCCGTAATGCTTTTATTCTACATAAGCACTTTGTTTTTAGGCATCTCAGCAATGGCAGATTGTCACTTCTGCTTTCTCACAGGAAACAGAGTTCTGTTCCTGGAGCAAGTCAGACCTACTGTGATGAGTCCCAGATAAGATATAGGAAAGCCAAGGAGGTCTGGCTTGAGTGGAAGATTCAACTTGGAAAGATGGATAATGACTAAATGGACCGTCTGGGTGCACTCGGAGAATAAGCAGGCAGTAACAGGAGGTAGCAATAGCAACTTGTATTTTCCAGATTTCTCATCTCTTCCCACTGCTGTTTCCAATGGAACGTCCAGGGAATGAGTAGATCTTGCTCTTTTAACTGCACTCAGATCTCCTCTGATACAAGGAACATGATGGTCTAAACTAGCACTGATGCAGTACTTGATGTTTAACTCCCCATGCAGCAAAGAACTACTCTATCATTGTCTTCAGTGGAATTTTAGCTTAAGAATAAATAGGGATTGATTTAAGTATTTGCTTAAGTGATCATCTTAGGTGAGTCATACATATAAGCACCTTTGAAATACCAGCATTTCATAGCAGCATATGGAATTAGCAGGGAAGAATTCCACATTGCAGTAAAAATAAAAGCGCTGATCCCAGAGCTTTGGTTTTCAGTGTCTCCCAGGCAGGATGTCGTGTACTTGTGTGGGTGGGTGAAGATCGGAAGGGCACAGGCCCTTCCTACACTTCCAGCATGCTCACCACCCCCACTTCTGATGGAAGGTGCTGCAGTAAAGAAAACAGCACATTTTCAGCCATAACTCTGTGTTTTTCCTTTGCGGTCTGTTTATAGTTCATGGATCGTACTTTAGAATGTTCTTTCACGGACTAATAGGTACTATACTTACCACAAATATAGATCAGTAACGAAACCCACTGGAATATCTCCATCTGTGTAACTAAAGAAAAAAGCCAGTAGACTTCATATCTTACAGTTAAAGCAATTCATTAACAAGAAATAGCTCATGCAACTGGAATTATTGGCCTATTTCTTCATAGTTCTATCACTTCTAAATATTTACACATTTATAACTGCAGGCAAACACATTGCGATCTGAAAATGTGCTCTGTGGTTTTTACACTGCAGTGCATAGTCCAACCATGTACATAAACCCCGTGTTTATCCCTGTATTTCCCAAATCCTAATAGAAATTTCAAACCTTTAAATTGGGTTTATACTATGCTTCTGGATGTAGCTGAACTTCGTGTATAAGAATGACATCATTGTTTCTAGAGTAACTAGCCTTACATGAAAAGGGGAAAATCAGAAGCAGACTTTTAAGAGGAAAATATCAAACAAAATAAATGGTTTGAACACAATATATGATGCTTTTGGGTGCTATAAACATTTTATTGTTACTTGTTTGGGAAGAACTGCATAACTCACAGGGGCTCCACAACTTGTAAGTAATGCAGCCATCTCAAAATCCAACAGATTTATCAGTCATGGTGTTCAAATGAAAATCCAGGATCTCATTTCCTCCTAAGTCCTCATAAATTTGATCAAGTGTTTAACAATGGCTCATCTGCATGTGTTCCCTTACATTTATACAAGTGCACACAACTTGGCTTAAATAGTATACCCTGAAGGGAATATTTTAGTGCCAGAGTGCTAAAATCTAGTTGCAACTTTTATGTTTAAAATAGAAACACCAGAAACTTCAGAAACCAGTCACCTATAGCAGTAAATACAGGAGATACAGTATTGCAGTTACAGACTTCGCGCTAGAAATTAACAATTGTTCATATTATTCTGCATAGACAGTAACATCTAGGTGAAGCTACAGCCTCATTGCTGTTACACTGAGTCTCACTGTGTTCTGACCTGGGGCCACATTTCATCCTCCAGTTACAGGCAGAGGAGGGTGGCATCAGATGGTGATTTTCTGGGGTTGCCTCAACACTTTGTGGTGGTGAACCCCATCTGCCTTTCGGCTGATAGAGCACCCACAGAACCTTTCTAGCACCTTCCAGAGAGGCCTCTGCCCTGGAAATTCAACTCAGCCTAGTGTAGGCCCAGCATCTGGCCCGTGTAGGTCCTTACTATACTGCTCCTTGCAACAGCATTGCACCCTGCTAACTACTGCCCTGCAGGATCTTGCTGTAAGGCAGCTACCTACCTGGCAGTTCCTGGGTCTTCCAATGCTTTTCTTCATTGGTAAAGCTACTGTATTGCAACCGAATTCTACAGCAGCAGTACTGCCGTGAACAGATCAGTGAGAAGCATTTTGCTGGGAAAGTTTTCTGTAAATAACACCTCTGTTGATTGTTGCCTCAACTTCTATTATTATTATCATCATCATTGAGATTATTATTTCCAAATTATGTGGCTTATGGGTGTGCACAGGCTTGTTCCTGCTCACAGCTAGCCTCTCTCCTCCTCCTCTGTGCGACCAGAGCTTGTTCCTGTTGCATCCCGTTGCGACATTGCAACTGAAGGCTTGTGGTGTCCCGTGTGGCGGCCGCGGCGGGAGCACATCCGTGTGGGAAGCCCTGCTCCTATGCCCATGCAAACGTTTTTGTTACTAGTAACTATTGTTTCAAAAAGGGAGTGGAACCGGAGCGCCAAGGCTCGCTTATCGGGTCTAATTTTAAGGTGCCATATAAACACTCCCCGAGAAAGCGGCAAGAGCCCAGTGCTCCCTGGAGCCGCAGCCGCCTCGCAGCCCACCCGGGTCTGCAGCGCGAGTGATTTAAGCGGCCGCAGCGCTCAGGGGAGCGCAGCGACAGGAGCAGTCCCGGTGGCGCCCGTGGACCAGGGAGCCGGGAAGGGCTGCGGGGCGAGCGCAGGGCTCGCTGTCTGCCCGCAGCCCCGCGGTGGCGGGGCGGTGCGGTGCGGCGCGGCGCTGTGCATGCCGGGCGCGGGGAGGCGCGGGCAGGAAGCGCTCGCTCCCGGCCGAGCTGAGCCCGTGTGCCGCCGGCGGCGGGGGCGGGCGCTGCCGCGCCGGTGGGGCTGGGGCACGGCGCAGAGCCGCGGCCGAGGCAGCGGCGGGATGGGGTTGGCTTCCTGAAGCGGCGGGGGGCGGGCGGGAGGGGGCTGGTTCTGCATTTCGGTCCCTCTCCTCCTCCCTCCTGCCCCTCTCTCCTAAGTTCGCGCTGTGCCGCGGCCCCTCCGGAGCGGCTGCCTGCCCCTGCCCCGCTCCCGGCGCTGCCCGCGGCGGGGCGGGCGGGGACAGCGGGGAGCCAAGGCGACCCAAGGAGCGGCCCGCCGCCTTCGGGGAGGCTGTGCTCCGGGCAGCAGCGGGGGGGAGGCGGCTGGCACAGGCGCTGGGCTCTCGTCGCCCGCCCCCCGGCAACGCCGCCGTCTGCCCAGCGCTGGCAGCCCCGGGAGATGGTGACACATGAAGCGTGCGGGAAGGACCATGGTTGAGAGGACCAGCAAGTTCTTGCTGATCGTGGCCGTCTCGGTGTGCTTCATGCTTATCCTGTACCAGTACGTGGGGCCGGGGCTCAGCCTGGGTTCCCCCAGTGGCCGCTCCTACTCGGAGGAGCTGGACCTCTTTCCCACGCCGGACCCGCACTACGTGAAGAAGTACTACTTCCCCGTGCGGGAGCTGGAGCGGGAGCTCGCCTTCGACATGAAGGGCGAGGACGTGATCGTCTTCCTGCATATCCAGAAGACCGGCGGCACCACCTTCGGCCGGCACCTGGTGCAAAACGTGCGGCTGGAGGTGCCCTGCGACTGCCGTCCCGGGCAGAAGAAGTGCACCTGCTACCGCCCCAACCGCCGGGAGACCTGGCTCTTCTCCCGCTTCTCCACCGGCTGGAGCTGCGGGCTGCACGCCGACTGGACCGAGCTCACCAACTGCGTGCCCGGGGTGCTGGACCGCCGGGAGAGCGCCGCCGCCAAGACGCCCAGGTACTGGCCCGCCGCTGCTCCCTCCCGGGCCGCGCACCCTGCCCGAACCCCTTCCCCGTGCAGCCCCCCGCCCTGTGCGTTGCAGCATGTTGGTAATGTGCCGTGCCCCAGCATGCTGTGAACCTTTCCTCAGCTGGTTCACCTGTCCCGTCCTCCCCTCCCGTCCTCCAGGGATGTGCCCTGCACCTTCTCCTCTGCGTTCCCAGGCAAATAAATAGCTCTTTGCCTCCTCCCACGGAACTGGTATGCTGCACCCTGAGCCCTCGGTCTTCTGCTCTAGCAGCCCGGGTGGACCCCTTAGCAAGCCTATGTATTTGTGCCGCTTACTCTCTTTTGTGAACGCTTAGTCTTTATTTCATACCTCACTTGCCACTTTTTAGTCCCCATTTCACTGTATCGTTAGCCTCAAGCCTGCCTTTGTAATCAGCTGTGCCCTGATCTGTGCACCCCTCTTTCTTTAGCTGAAATTGTTCTCCAGTGCAGCTGAAAGGCATACCAGCCCACCAGTCCTCATTCTTTTGCCTAGCCTAATCTGCCTGATAATTTTTTTTCACATTGCAGAAAATATTCTTTAAACACCCTTTTGTATTTTTTTTGCTGTTTACTCCTGATGGGACAGCTGAGGTGAAGTCTTTGGGGGAAAGGAGCTACCCTGTACATGTTCTTGTGTCTCCCCCATCTGTGCACGAGGAGAGAGGGAGTGCCATCATAAAGCACCCCTCAGTGCATCCCTGTTGAATACCCAGTATATTTCTGCCCTCTTACTCCATTATTTCTCTACCTTGGTCTCTATAAATTATAAGCTTCAGAGGTATTTTCTGTTTGAAGTACTCCAGTAAAGACAATGGATTATATTAAGATCTTCAAAGATTATATTCTTTTAGCTCAGTAGACCTTTGTGTCTTTCCTATCCTTTTCACTGGTTTTTAACAGCATGCACACCTTCCTTGACACATCAGTGTTTTTGTTATGACCCTTTGAAACTTTAAGGCAAACAGATTACGTTCTTAAACGTGTCCAAGATCTTACGCTAATATTTGCTTATGCCATAAGCTTTATTTATATGCATATTGTTAATACCATGCATAATCCCGTTAGTGAAACGTGGCCTTTAAGAAAGTATGTTCTAGCATCAGAACTGTTTTTCTTTCTTATTTATTTCACTGGAGCTGCATGCAATTGCTGGGGTTCTTTATTGTCTCTCTCATGATTGCTGCTGTTTTCAACCCGTTTCAGTGTTAGTCGTCCAAGTACTACGCTCAGATTGCTGTCATGCTGCCTGATCCAGAAGCAGCAAACTGAACTATGTAGCTAAAGGGCCCGAGTGTTCAGGCTTTCCTGTGGTCTCTTATAATTAGGTACTTGAAAACGCCTATGAGTAAAATATCCTCAGCCCATCTGGTTGCAGTTAAGATTGTAGTGAAGTGTTTTAAGAACAAATGCCCAACGTTCAAATCTGATTAAAAAAAAAAAAATTAAAAATTAGCTGTTTTGTGAACCTTGGCACTTGACTTGGGAAACCATTAACCTGCTATAAAGACCTGTGTGGTTTTATGAATTGTCTTGGAGTTTTGGGAATCTTGTGTGCTTCCATTGGCAGTTTTATACTAAAATCTGCTGTGTATTCAGTATAGAACTGTCTCATCCTAGTTAGCAGTTGGGATTTTGTAGAGGTACCTGAGAACAGGGCACTTCAGGTTGTGAAGTAGCTGTTCCTTGCTGCAACTCATAGAAGTTGAGAACCAGAAGCCTATTGCTTCATGTCAAATGCTTGTAAATAAGATTTTCTTTGCCATTTTTTGTGGCACATCAGGAACTATAAGCTTCTACATGCTGCTTAACTCTCTTGATTTTTGGGGTGTGCAGGGAAAATAATTAATCCTGTCCTGTTCCCTCGTGTCTCTGCATAAATAGTTCTGCTTTATGTGGTCTCTTTACTTCCCTTAAATATAAATTAGAACTTTTTTCAGCATCATAAGAATTCCGGTGTGGAAGTTTTAGATAATCTAAGGTTTATCACCTTGGTCTAGTAAATAAACCCCAGAATTTACTGTTAGTTGTATCCTGGGGGGGAGGAGGGTGGGGGTGTTGCAATGAACAGCTGCTGCTTATTCTAATAATACTGTCCTAGGATACTGCTCTGTTGTCCTACAGTCCAGGCTAGTAGGCACCTTCTCCAAACTACAATTTATTTCATGTGTAAGAAAATTAGGAATAAGGCAGGCAGTGCTTACTTAAAATAGAAATTTGATGGATTTTCTTTGCTGGGAAAAAGGTAGTCTTGTATTATGCCCATTACACAAAGAACAGTGTAACTTTTTATTTCTTTGTTGTGAATGTTGGCTCTCTTCTGTTGAAAGAGGGCATGTTTTTACATAAGGCATATGCTAGAGAGGCTACTATCTTATAATGGAACTGAGCTATGAAAATATATCTCACAAGGAAAAGAGAAAGGAGCAGCAAAGCACCATTCCAGCAGGGTTCACTCACATTCTAATATTACCCACTGTGGGCTTTGGAGTACAGTCTTCAAATTCAGCTTTTAGAGCTTCTGCCTTTTCTATCTAATGCAAAGTTTAAACCTTTTTTCTTCCAACTGTATGTTTAGCCCCCAAAACAGCTGACTTGTGATGACAAATAAATTTGCCTTCTAGTGAATGTTGGAAAGCATGAAGGTCATTCAGTATTGACCACGTACAAATCATGAGCTTCAAACTGTTAACTTGGTAAGCAATATGGTTTTGTCACTGCACAGTGCCCTGTTGCACTACATTCCATAACCTGTGCATGGTACATAAATTTACAATGCAATTGCTCTTTTTATCGTTCTGCTGTTCTGTGTTAGACTTAATGATTAGAAGCCCTAGATTGCCAGAGACTGCCTTTTGTTGTTCCTTCTTTCTGTCTTTTGCATTGATAGAGTAAGCTGTCAGAGGTGGGTGTTTTAAAGAGTCAGGACTCTTTAAAAAGCCCCCAAACAACAAACTACTGGTTCTCTTCCCCTTCCCACCCCACTGCTAGTGATTTTCCCTGTTTTGTATTCAAGAGACTTCTGGACAAGCACTTCTTGAATCAAATGTTATGTTTTATACACAGCCAGTAAAAGAAAGACATTGATTTGTTTGGGGGCTGTAAAACTTGGGACTCCAAGGAACTCCGAGGCTACCTGTGTTTCTCAATTAAATCTCTTAGCTGTAGTTCTCATCATGCCTTTAGTAGAAGGGAAATTCCAAGATTTTGGGAATGGAGGCCTACTTATTCCTTGTGCTGTTGGGCATAAATGCTGGAAAAGACTCTTTTTTTAAGCAGCAGTAATACTAGGGTGTGTGCTTGAGTCATCACGATGATATTTCAGAAAGCAGAGGCTAAGCACTTTCTGTGAACTGCTCCCTTAAATTTATCTCACCTAAAACTGCAAGAGATCTAATCTCTCTGCAGTTGATGCAGAAAAAAAGCCAAACTCAGGTCTTTAATTTGGCTTCTAGAATTAGAAAAAACTCTGAAGGGATCCACTAGTAACTTGGCTGTCTCCTTTGTTAAAGGCCTGAATGAAAGCCCTTGGAGGTGTTGGAAAGATTCCTTTTTTTAGCCCCCAAAGGAGACGGGATTCAGTGCCCTTCTGGCTATGTCCTCCTTCCCCGCTCCCAACACTAGAGCGGAGCTAGGTGTTCCTTGTAGGACACTTCATGCGTGAGCTTGACTCTTAATGTAATGTGCTGCAGAAGCAAACTATGCTGAAGGAATGTTTCCTTTACTACCTCTTCTCAAAAGAAAAATAAGTAACAAATCCCAAACCACCCAAAAAAAAAAAAAAACCAAACAAGACAAAGCCAAAACCCAGCCTAGGCTTTGTTGTGATCCTGCTGCTTTCTTCTGCCTCAGGAAACCAAGAGTGTCTAAGCTGGGATTTTCCTGGAGACACATTATGCATGTGGAAAGGATTTTAAGGCATACAGCTCCTTTTAAACTGTTTTATGCAAGCTGCCTGTTGCTGTGCAGAACCCGTATAGTCAGTAGAGTGCTGGAAGGGCATTGCTGGCTCTGTGCTCCCCCAGCTCACACACGTGCTCTGCCTTCTGCTATGCTGTTCAGAGCACCAGGTAGATTTATTTCTTCTTTGTGGTGAGCCTTCTCAAGACACTAGCTTAGGCTTGGCTTTGCGTGTGTAGTTCTGTGCTCATCTGTCATAGAAGTTTGGTTTCAGAGTTCATCTATGGACAGAAAAGAATGACGTAAGTATTTCTCAGTGAGTTTAAGACGTGTGTGTTTCCAGTGTCAGTGTTTTTTCTCAAGATTTTGTATGCTTTAGAAATAAAAAAAAAATGGTAATCCACAGACTTTTATGTAAAAAGTCTATGGCAGGTTAGTAAAATCTGCTGTTAAATACATCAGTCCAAGGTTTAGAAGCTCTCTGATAAGCTGTTTACAGCTTGTGTTTTGGGTTGTGGTTTTTGTTTTTTAAGAAACAATTAACAGGGCTCGGCAGTTTGTTAGGCTTGATTTTTCTGAAGTGTGAACTTTCACAGCTTCCAACCACAGATCTGTCCCATTGCAGGGATCTGTTCTTGATGAGGTTTTTATTATATGTGTGCTTAGGAGCTGCAGAGACACGTTGTCAAGAGACCAACTGTTTGAAAGTGAAAGGCTTTACCAAATCACTCTTATAATATTAGCACTTTTTGAAAGCTTAGGCTTATCGTTCTTTGTGCATCTGTGTGTGCAGGGGGTTGTGAAATACTTGTCTGCAGGGAGCAAGGGGCATATTTTCCACTCACCAATTTGACTCCAACTAGTTTTTCTTAAAGACTGCTGGGAAAATATCAATATAAAGCTATTTTCAGTAGCCTGATTCTTTGCATGTGGAGTATTTTAAAGGCCTGCTAGTCTGATCCGAAACCTTTTGCACCTGGTTGTGCTCACCCATAAAGCCAGGTTGGTCTTTCAGAGCCAAATAATTCTGAGGGGCCATATAGTTTGGTAGTGAAAATCTTAAAACGTGA